TTATTTGAAGATGATGTGATACTCTACATAGAAGACCCAAAAAGCTCCACTAAAAGACTTCTACATTTAAAAACCAAATTCAGAAGCATAACTGGATACAAAGTCAGCACTCAAAAATCAATAGCCTTCATGTATACAAATAACAAACTCACTGAGAGAGAAATTAGGGAAAGAACACCTTTCACAATAGCATCCAAAAAAATGAAACACCTAGGAATCAATCTAACAGAGAAAGTAAAAGACCTCTACATTGAAAACTACAGTACTCTGAAAAAGTAAATTAAAGAAGATATCAGAAAATGGAAAGATATCCCTTGTTCCTAGATAGGAAGAACCAATATAGTGAAAATGGCCATACTTCCAAATTTTTATACAGACTTAATACAATCCTGATCAAAATTCCAACATCATATCTCACAGAACTAAAGAATACAAACCTAAAATTCATTTGGAACCAGAAGACACCTAGAATAGCAAAGACAATTCTGGGCAACAAAGGCAAGGCAAGAGGCATCACAATCCCTGACTTGAAATTATACTATAAAGCTACTGTGATAAAACAGCATAGTACTGACAAAAAAACAGACTTGAGGATCAGTGGAACAGATTAAAAGATGTAGAAACAACTCCAGACATACTCAGTCACCATATCTTTGACTAAGGAGCCAAACACCTTCACTGGAAGAAAGATAGGCTCCTTAATAAACAGTGCTGGAAAAACTGGCTTTTCACATGCCAAAGATTAAAGCTATATCCATATCTTTCACCATGTACTAAACTAAAATCAAAATGGATCAAAGCTCTAAATATTAAAATAGAAGAACTAAATCTGCTGGAAGACAAACCAGGTAGAAACTCTTGAAGTAGGTTGGTGTAGGCAAAATCTTTATAAACAAAACCCCAATCACACAGGAACTATCACAAAGAATCAACAACTGGGATCTCATCTTACCAAAAAGCTTTTGCACAGTAAGAGAAACCACCAAGAGAGCAAAGAGACAAACCCAGTGTAGGAAAATATTTTTGCCAGCTATTCATCAGACAAAGGACTAATACCTAGAATATATAAAGAACTCAAAAAATCAGACCCCCCCCCAAATTTAAAGGCCCAATCTAAAAATGAGTATCTTTCAGATACTTTTCAGATAAATACTTTTCAGATGAAGAAATAGAAATGGCAAATAAATATGAAAAAATGTTCAGCATCAATGGTAATCTGAGAGATGCAAATTAAAACAATATTGAGTTTGCAGCTCACCCCAGGAAAAAAAAAATGGCTATTATCAAAAAATTAACCAATAACAAATGCTAGCAGAGGTGTGGAGGAAAAGTAACCCTTCTCCACTGTTGGTGGTAATGTAGACTGGTGCACCATTGTGGAAATCAGTGTGGAGATTCCTCAAAAAACTAGGCGCAGAAGTTCCATTTGCCCCAGCTATTCCTTTTTTTGGTATCTTTCCAAAATGTTTAAAAAACATCATACTACAATGATACATGCATACCCATGTTTATAGCAGCACAGTTTGTAATAGCTAAATCTTTGAAACAGCCCAGATGCCCATCAACCCACATGAATGGATAAAGAAAATGTGAGGTTTTTTATACAATGGAATACTACCCTGCCATAAAGAAAGACAAACTTAAAACATTTCTAGGTAAATGGATGCACCTTGAGACCATACTCCTAAGTGAAATAAACTGGATACATATGTGTAAATACCACATTGTTTCCCTGGTGTGAGAAACTGAAAGTGTAAATAAGGACCAAAATGTATAATAGATATTGTGAAATAGGAAGAAAATGTTCAAATGGGAAGGAGAGCTAGGGAAATGGGAGGGAAAAAGAAGGGGGGGATGAGAAGAGAAGGAAAAACGGAGACAAAGCTTTTGTAAATAAGGAATGGAAGAGGGGTTGAATGGAAGGTAGGGGAATGTGGAAAAAAGGATCAAGATATTCATGTATAAGTATAAATTCCTCTGATGAATGTGATCATCATGTATACATAAAATGTACCAATAAACTTGATTAATTAAAGTAAACCTACCAATGTCAAGTATCTTTTATTAAGGTTTTTCCTTAACAGTGCAGACAATGTAAACATCACTCCCCTCATATCAGCACCTCTGCACACCCACCTCCTAACCCTAAGGGGTCCCACTGAGTGACAGCCTCCTGTAAGCATCTGGCTCTTGGACACTGGCCAAGGTGGGTAATAACATGGCTGGCTCTCCTTGGGAGGAAGAACCTGTAAGATCACAAAACCCAAAGTGTCCATCCAATAAGGGGAAACACTTTCAAATAGACTAGGCTTTATGGAGACTTGAAATCTCTACCCTGTGGCTAAAAGAATTGCATGACTCCTCCCACTGAAGTAGGATTCAGTTTCTCTTAAATGTCATGCGATAGGCCTGAAAACCTGAAGGGGTGCGATCTTTGTTTTGTGATGAGCTGGATAAAGAAGATGAGGGAGCAAGAGGTGGGATACAAGTTCCTAAGTTTGGAGAGCATAGCAGAGATTCAGTTGTTTATTTAAACTGATTTAAGTCATTAATGTTGCTCTTTCCAATCAGAAATTACCGCTGGGCTATTTGGAGAAAAACCTATTTGGAGAGATTAAATGGTTCTGGATGAATACATAACAGCAAATATGCATAACCAATTATCATATTGTATCCTTAAGAATCATCATAGATTCCCAAGCCAAGCATCCCATAAAACCAATGCAACATAATCACCCAGACTCAGCTAATGCTTTGCTCTGCAAGGAACCCAGCCCAATCCACCTGAGCAGCATAAATGACAAAAAGAATGAAGACTACTGATTTCTTTCTGTCTGAGCCTCTGGACTATATCTTCTGTTCGCTCCAGGCTGGGGGAGGTGTGGGGAGGGCAAAGCTATAGATGGATTTTTGCACTTGCAGAGGAAGCACTTGGCACATGGCTAACTGCTGCAGGGAGTGATTTGCCAGTAAGTTGGCCACCAATTCCTTACCATCTAACAGAATGAGATAGGGCCATTTTTTTTTTTAATCTTACCAAAGTATCATCATGAAGAGATGCTAATGTGCTAAGATTTTCATGGTCTCTAATAGTATCATAGAGAGACTGAGCAACCAGTAATAGCTTAGGGACACACCGACCAGGTAACTTTCCAAAGGACAGTTGTAATGGTACAGCATGCCTCAGTCTTTCACATAGCAATCATATAAGAGAAACCATGCAATATCTAACCTTCTGTGTCTGATTTGTTTCACTTTGCATTATGGTCTCAAAATGATTATAAATGACTTGGATTTATCCCTCTTTTTGGCAGAGAGGTGTGTTTTTTTACAGATTGCATAAAAATACCACATATTCTTTATCCATTTATCTGTTGATAGACATACAGACTGTTTCCAAGATTTAGCTATTACGAATTGTGCTGCTATAAACATGGGTGTGCATGTATCATTGTAACACAATGTCTTTAATTATCTGAAAGATACCTAGAAGGGGCATAAGTAAGTAAGGATAAATGTTTTGATTCAATTCAGGACATTGAGGCATCCACAACAGTGCAACTATAGACATTCATGAAAGAACTTCCACAACTGCTTCAGAAAATAGCAAGAACAATGGGGTAAAGGTGTTCAAAGTGAGGAGGAGTGGTTTGAAGGGGATTAATAGCAATGTGTCTTTTCTGCACTTTCATGGGCTTGGCTGACAAAATGGTGGTAGGAGACACTGAGTCCAGGCACAGAGTAGAACCCCACTCTCCTTGACCACTCTGTGGCAGCCCAGAGGAGGCTGCACTGTTGGCGTTTGGAGAGCTGCTCACCACTCTGGTCTGGAAGCTTCCCTCCCCACGGTAAGGAGCACATCCAGTAGTGGTGGAGAAGGAAAAGTAAGATTGAGGAAACAGTAGTTTGGTTCATTGGTGATAGCAATAAATTTGGATGGTGCAGAGGCTCAAGTGCACCCGAGCTGAAGTTCCTGAACATCAGCCCCAAACATTCTGATCCAACAGGTGTGGAGTGTGCTGGGGAATCTGGATTTCTATCAGATGTTCCAGGGGATCCCAGGTCAGAGGGTTCAAGAAGCCATGTTGGGGAATAATGCCTCTAGCATACCTATCTCCTTGCATCATCATCAGTCACTGAGAGTTGAGTGTGCCTCACATGACAGGCCAAGGAGAAACCAGCATGTCCCTGGGCTTCCACACTGGTGTGCTGCCATGTCATGGGGCCTGGATCTCTGAGTTCACTCCGTGTTGTCCGTTTTCCCCCCTATACTGGATGTGATAATTAACTATTGTGTTTGTTTGAGTAACAAAAACCCAACTCATTGGTTTGGCATAGTTCTGGCTGTGGCTGAAAGGACTTACTAAGGAGTGAAGACCCACCCCACGTGTGAGTGGCACAAACCAACAGGCTTGCAGCCGGAAAGGAATAAAAAGGGAAAGAAGGAAATATCACTCAGGTTTCTTTGGAGGAGCTCTAGTCTTCGGCTTCTCCTAGGATGTCCATTTTCTGGCTTCCAGCACAGTCTTCAGCTTCCTGATGTGGACTGGCGCAGAACTCAACAGTGAGCTCCAAGCTCGTAAACTTTGACTGGACCCTTTGGATCTCTAGCACACAGACCGCCTATTTGTACTCTTCCACATCTGACTCTGTGGGTGGCCATTGTAAGCCCATGTGGTAAATCGATATACATTTATATATCTTATATTAAATCTGTTTCTCTAGTGAACACTGCTGATACACTAGGATGAAACCCTGAACCATTGCACTGAGCTATATCTCCAGCCTTTTTATTTTTTATTTTGACACATGGTCTTGCTAAGTGTCTAAGTTTCCCATGCTGGGTTGAAATTCATGATCTTCCTGCTTCAACCTACCAAAGTGCTGGGATAATAGGAGTGCTGCTGCCTAGCACTGTCCTCTTAAAATACACACACACACACACACACACACACACACACACACACACACACACACACACCAAACCAATTCAGCTCAGCAAACATTTATTGGGCATGTACAACAGGCAAGGCACAGTGCAGAGTGCTGAGGGGCACAGAAATGGGAAGGCAAGGCCTCCTGCTTGAGAGGCTTATAGTCTAGTGGAGAGAGAAAACCTTATGGGTAACAAAAATGCAAAACAGAAGGAGGTGAGCTCTGTGGCAAGGCAAATACACAGGGAGAACAGGCATTGAGGAAAGGTGAGTTTCACCAGAGGATTCACAAGCATTGTTCCCGCAGGACGCTGGGGGTGGGTAGAGCCACACCGGTGAACTGGGGAGAGAGAGAGACATTCCAGAGACTGGGAGAGGCATCCAGAAGGGGAAGGGCAGTTAATACGAATGCTTTGAGGGGAACAGGAAGGAAAGGTTGACAGAGGGAGCTGAACCTGGGAAAGGGTGGGAGCAAGAATCTCTTTAAAGGAAGGAGATCAGAAGGCAGTGGGGAGCTACTGAAGGTGTCTGAGCAGGGGAGTGAGGTGGTCTCATCCCCTCAATTCCAGACACACTGCCGTAGCACATGATCAGTTGTATCATTTCATCCACTTTCCAGGCTCACCTCTGTCTTGGTCCCAGAGCATAAGCCAGCCCAGGCTCTGCAGCTACAAATATTTTCCAGGGCTGCGCAAAGCAGGAGGCAGTGGCCTTGCTGAGTGAACTCTGAGCTCGTGGCCATCACATGCAGAGAAAAGGAAGGGAGGCTTTCCACAACCACTTGCAGGTAAGGGGCAGGGACCCAAGAAGTGACTTGGTGGAGTTTCATCACCTAACAGTGGCAAGGTCAATCCCAGAGACAATGGAAATGCAAAGGAAAGTGGCAGGGAGATGTGAGTGGCATGATTAGCATCCTCCACATTAACCTATCCCCAGAAGGACTTCCAGGATAAGCTGACCCTGGAGGCCCAAGAATCAGCAGATGGGATTTTCAGCACTGCACATATCCAGAGTCCTCTTCCAACAGAGACTGCTCAGATCCTTCCTAGCTATCCAAATGGGAGGGAGAATGGCGCCCACTCCCTCCTGGACCACCCCAGCCTGGGAAGGGATGCGAGGCCACTGCTGTCCAGGTGGACACTGCAATGCTGGTGAGTGCGGGCTCTCCCAGGACCTCCACAGCTGCCGAAGCAGATGTCTGCGCTGAGGGGGGCGAAGTCACAGCTGGGTTTCCAAGGAGAAATGCCCCAGGGCCGCTGGCATGCATCTCAGGGGCCGATCCTGCAGGACCTCCACCTCCATTGCTGATGGTCCACAGACACGGGTAGGGGCTGCAAGACACACAGAGAGAGGATTCTGATGATGCTTTAAGGAAGCAGGTCAGCTGGTAAGCAGGGACGTGGCACACAGAAGGACAGTGGTAAAAAGAGGGTTTCTGTCTTGGCTGTCCTGCTATCAAAGACACAGACAGGCCCTGTTCCTGCAGAAAAGCTGAGAAAAGCAGCTAGGTATGGAAGGAGAGAACAAAACTACCTGTCCTGAGACCTGGATTCCGGATCTGGCCCTGCCACTAACAAGTTACCCGCTTTTAAACAACGCATTTCACTTCTCTAGAACATTGCCCTTCCAGACCATATGAAGCAGGTAAGGCAGTGAAAGGCACCACATGATCTGTGAGTTTGGTCTCTCCCTGGCCAAGAGAGGCATAAAAACTGGGACTTTAGTGTCAGAAGCCCTGGGTTTGAATCCGATCTCTACCACTTATTAGTTCTGTGACCTTTGTTAAGTTAGTTCATATCTGCGTCTCAGCTTCTTCAAGATCTGGAGTGGTATTTTACAGACCTTAGCGACTGCTATGAAGGTAAAATAAGAGAGTGAAGGCATAATTCCCAGCAGGTGGCACTCAGTACATGGACATTATCGTTAATTCTCCCATCCCCAATCCAACCTGTCAGCTCTGATCCCTACCGTAAAAGCAGAGCCACTTTCTTTACCTTCTCTACTTCTGTTGCACTGGTTCCCAAACTTGGTGACACACTGGAACCAGTCAGTGTGTTTCAAAACAAAGGCGCTGCCTGGGTGCCATCCCACCTTCTGGTTTAATTGGTCTTTCATGCAGCCTGGCTATCGTGAATTTTTTTAAAGCTTATCAGTTGATTTTATGTGTGGTGAAGTCTGCTGATTAATACAGAACTCACATGCACATGACTATGGAACAGAATAACCACCAACGTTCTAAGCCTTTGTCACTGCTGTGTTCTGACTTCTTAGCATCTTCACTGCCTGATGCTGCATTGCTTGATAATTGCCTCCTTGTCCAATGGCAGTACTGAACACATCTGTTTTCCCCTAAGTTCTTAGGTTGTCAACAATGCGTTAAACACAGCAACAAGGAAACCCAGTTAGCAACGCCACTCTGCACCCTGTGCCACACAGCAGGCGCTGTGCGCATTCCAGGACCAGGGGACCCTGCAGAGATCCTTCCTCTTGACTGAGCTGCCATCTTGCCAGATGCTGAACCATATGTGGCCTCTAGAAGAGGCTTCTACCATTTCCCCCGGGGACCTTTCTGATGCCTCCGGGGCTGGTGAGAGAAACATGGGCTCCTAGTTCTCTACTGTGTGACTTTCAGGAAAGTTTAATGCTGCTGAGCTTCAGTTCTTCATCAGGAAAGTAGGAATTTTAACACTCCCCTTGCAGATGTCTTTGAGCGCTACAGCTGACTTCTGTAAGCATCTAGTGCAGCAGCTGGCACGTGCCTGTTCCCTGTCCTCAGGGCCCCCCTGCTCATTCTCCTCACTTCCTATCACAGCCCAAACTGCTGCTCCTCCCTCAAGTCCCACAGGCCAGCAGTGCCCAACAGAAATAGGACGGAGGCACAGGGCCAGGCACATATGCAGGCCTTCGTTTCCATGTAGCCACATTGAGATAAAAGAAAAGAAATGAAATTGTTGGTATTCTGAGCAACTGAAAATATCCAAAATATTATCATTTCAATAGACACTGTAGGTTAAAAAAAAATTGACTTTTTTTATTCATTGTTTCATACTAAGTTTTAAGAATCCTGTGTGTTTGTTGTATTTCTCATGCCTCTAAGTTTGGTTAAACAGAGTTTCAGATCTTCGGTAGCACAGTGGCTGCTTCCACTACATTAAACACCACAGTTCTAGACCCCTGTGAGCCTGGCAGCATCAGCAACACTCAAAGTCTTGTTAGAGATGTAATGGCTCAAGCCCTATCCCAGACCTATGGCCAGCTTCTGGTACACATTAAATTACAAGAAGCACCACTGTCAACCAAAAGCCATCACTGTTCTCCTACTTTCTCTAGACCTACAAATCACAGACATCATCGGATGCCTCATCAGGCACCATCTTCCCTTTTGGAAGGGAACCACCAAGATCCCTTTTGGATCTTCCAAAATTCCACATGTGTATATTGAACGTAATAGCTGACATTCACACAGAATGTGACTGCTTACAAAGCATTTTCTTATTTTGTTGCTCATCATACTATTTCTGTTACAGATAAAAAAGCTGGACCTCGGTAAAGCTAAGAAAATTGTCCAAAGACACAAAGTCAATAAGCTGGAACTGAGACTCCTGCTACCACCTGTCAGGCTGCAAGGGGCCTTCTCTCTTCTCTATCATGCTGATGCTCTGATTTCCAGAAGTCAGCACTAAATGCAGGTCTCTGGTGTGAGAATTATATCAAGGGTCCCACATGCTACACTCAGACCTACGGCCAGCGCTATGAGCCAGGTACCTAATGGGTTTCTTTTTCAGATGGGAGATTTATGAGAATATGGATGATCAAGAATCTAGATTCCAACTAGGTTGAGGATATAGTTCAGTGGCATAGCACCTGCTGAGCAAGCACAAGATCCTAAGTTTAATTCCGGGTACAAAAAAAAAAAAAAAAGAAGCTAGATTTTTCAGTGTATATTTCTTTTTGGTGCCTCAGTACTCAGTGTCTATTTGTTACAACCTCAGTTTAAAGTGTCCCTGACTGGTTCAGGACAACTGATCCCAGGCCACAGTGTATTTTCCCTTTTCAATGTGAAATGCCAACGCTGGAAAATACTGAGCATAGGACTGAATTGGTGCTTTCCCACCTCCCTTTCTCCAGCTGCAAAAAGTCATCCTGTGGTCACCTTCACTTCCTACTAGCTAAAAGTCAGGACAATAGCTTAGACTGAGACACCCTAGGAAAAGAATGTACTTGAATGCTCAGGACTCCAGGAAGCCTCCAGAACCATCTGTGAGCAAGTCACTGGTGTTGGTCTTACCTGGGCCCTGGATTGATTGGTCCGTTGGTGTGGGGTACAGACAGGATGCTGGCATGGGGAGTGGAGGACAAGGAATTCCAGCTGTCAGGTCCTGAGAAGACTTGCAGATTACTGCTTGAATTTTCTATCAAGTTTACTTTAGAGAAAATAACAACAGTTCAATTGACAAGACAAACCAACCTTATAAAGGCAGTGACCAGCAGCATTATCCAAGGGAAACATACAATGGCTGGTTTATAAGCACCAACACTTTGGTAGTTCTTTTGGAGGGAAACAGAAAAGAGGAAGGAGCTTATGCTTAGGAAATGCCGCTTACATGCCAGGCGCTGCTCATAGTTTAGTCTTCACAATGACTTCCCATCTCAGCTCACACACGCGGCTCAGGCAAGGAGGATGATTGGCTCCCTGTGACCCAGCCTGTCTAACTCCTGTTGCCACATTCTCTCCCCTTTAAGATGGTCTATAATAGCATCCCGTCATGTTGAGATTAAGGGCTACCGGTGCCCAGCCAAGATTCCTGAGGTCTAGGGCTTTATTCTCCCAACGATCCCCAAGTGGATTTAAACATCTCAAGAATGGTGTCTTCTCACAGGAAGAAAAGGACCACAGGCTCTCACTTGTATGTGGAATCTAGGAAAGCTGAATTCATAGAAGCAGAGAGTGGAACAGTGGAGGGTGGGGTGGTGAGGAGTTTGGGTCAAAAGACACAAAGATGCAGTTGTGTGGGATGAGTAAATCTAGAGATCTAGTATACAGCACAAAGAATATAGTTAATAATATTGTACTGTAGAATGAAAGTGTCCTATGAAACTGAGTTTCAGGTGCTGTCACCTAAAAAGAAAATTATATGACAATATGGATATGCTTGACTATAGTAGTAATCTTGACAGATAGGAGATAGATGATAGATGATAGATAGATAGATAGATAGATAGATAGATAGATGATAGATAGATAGATGATAGATGATAGATAGATAGATAATAGATAGACCATGTTACACACATAAATGGAGGGAAAGGAATAGCATGTTCTATTCCTTTGAGCTTCCATTTGCATAAACAGTACATATAAAGAGAGAGGAAGAAGGAAAAAGAGAAAAAGAAAGAAAGAGGAACAGGAAAGGGAGCAAGAGGAGGAAGAGCCCAATGTACATCCCTGGTGCTGGTGTTTGAAGGTGTCCCTAAAGTTCACATGCTAGAAGCCTAATCCCCAAGGAAACAGTGCTGAAAGGAAGGACCCTTAAGAGCCCAGTGGTGGATTAATGACATTCTTCGGGGTGTGAGCCTGGGAGTGGGTTTCTTATGAAAGGATGAAGTCAGCCCACCCACCTCTCTCTGCCATCCACAAGCTGCCTTCTGCCATCCTACACCCCAGCAAAAAGGTCCTGACCGAATGCCACTCCTTTGTTCTTGGACTTCCTCACCACCAGAACTATGATGAAATAAAAGTGTTCTTTACAAGTTACTCCATCTCCTACTGGCGATGGAAATGCTGTGTTACAGCAGCACAAGCTGAACAAAGACACCTGGCCATGTCGCATCTTTCTGTGGTGTGCAGTTTGCCACCTCTCCAGTCTCAGAGCCCACATCTTCCAGCGCCCCCCTTCCTCTACACTCTGCTCCCAATCTGTTCCCCAGAAAACCCAGGTTCTTTCATCCTCTGTGACTTTGCTCCCTCCACCTGGGATGCCCTCACCTCTGCCTGTGTCACACGCTGTCCATCTGCCCCTCCTGCCCACTACTTCCTGTCCTTTTCTATTCATCCTTCCAGGCTCAGTTTAAATACTGACTGCTCAGCGCAGCTTTCTCTGACCCACTAGGCAGACCTAGTTGCTCTTTTTTCATTCATAGAGTGCATACGTGCACTCTAGATTTTTTCTCAAACCTTAATGTGCCTCTGAGTCACTTGGGAAGGTAGACCCTGGTCCAGGAGTAAAGCCTGAGAGTCAATAGCTCTAACAAGTTCCCAGGTGGTGCTGTGGGTCCACAGGCCACATCAGAGAACCCATGCGTTATGGGATGATTAATTATGTATGTATTTGTGCAGCCCTGAGACCCTCCTGGGAAGAAACCACAAGGGGAAACTGAAAAATACAGCGAATGTTTAAACTTATTACAGTAAAAGACACATGGCATGAGCCCACCTCAAAACACTCCCCCTCATTTCAAACACATTTGTCCCAGCATTCTTGTCACTTTTTTTTTTCTTCCCACTTTCTTTTTGAGGGGCAGGAGGTCACTGGGAATTGAACTCAGGACCTCATGCTTGCCAGGCAGGTGCTGTGCCACTGAACTAAATCCTTGGCCCTCTTGCCACTTTCTGAAGCAATTCTGGAAGTCCTCTTTCATGAATGCCTTTATGAAGTGTAATATTAAAGAAAAAAAAAAAAATACAGCGAATCCTGCAGCTGAGTGCTACCCAATAGAAAGGCAGCCTCGTAAAAACATCACTGTGTGTCCTCACCCACCTTATTCACCAGTCTGTCACCATCAGACCTTCTGGCTCTTCTACGAAGTTAAAAGGTAAATGTTCTGAGTCAATTCAGGGCATCACAGCATCATAGCCAGCACAATGCAACTAAAGACACTCATGAAAGAGGACTTCCAGAGCTGCTTCAGAGAGAGGCAAGAATGATGGGGTATGTTTGAAGTGAGGGGAGTATTTTAAGAGCAATTCATGGGGCTGGGGATTTAGCTCAGCAGCAAAAGCGCCTGCCTGGCAAGCGCAAGGTCGTGAGTTCGGTTCCTGGTACCGGAGAAAAACCAAAAAAAAAAGAAAGAGCGATTCATGGCAGTGTGTCTTTCACGGTAGGCCACTGTTTTTTAATTTAAACCCACACCATAGTCTTCAATCATCCTTCATAGTCTTAATCACTTCCCTTTCCCCTGGCAGGCATTCAGGTCAGATGCTTTGGGTGTGGACCATGGAAAAGAGCAGGAAGTAGAGTGAGATGCTGCTGAGTGGCCTCTGTCATGAAGCCACATGTCCTCCCTTCCTGGCAGCAGCTGTTGAGGCTGCCAGCAGCCACCACCTGAGGAGCACAAGAACAGGGTCCAGGAGAGCCCTGAGCAAATGGAGAGTCCAAGGTGCCACAGAGGAAGAAAGGAGACTGGAATCTTAGCACTCTCCACCATCTCCTATGCCACAAACTTTTTATCTTTGTTTTGTGCAGGATCAATCTCTCCATATTAGAACAGGATCTGCAAGATATTTGGGTGTTTGACCATTTTGTCCACATACCTCAAACTGAGCCTGGTTCTCAGGAATAGTTGCTGCATAAATTCTTTAATAAAAAATTAACCTCTCCTTCTTCTATCTCTCTCCCCCGTCCCTGCTCCCCACTGAGACTGAACCCAGAGCTTCAAGTATAATATGCAAGTGCTGGACCACTGCTATGCATCCTATACCACTAGTATTTTTTTTTTTCTTAACAAATCTGAGCAAGGGATGAGCATATACAAAGCCGAGGAAGACAAGAGAGCAGCAGTAACTGAGAAACAAAGCATGCAAATAATAGCACCAATGTAAAAAACAAATAAAAAACCAGACCACAGAAATTATTAGCCTGCGTTACTCCCACCAAATCAAACTAATACCAAAATATACAATGATGTGGCTCCCAAGACCTTCCTAATAGTCCTCCAACCCTGGACCCAGCCACAAATGCCATGCAGGGGACAGCCACATGAAAACAGTGAGTTGGTATTTCAGACCCCATGGTTTTTAGATTTCGCATTCAGAGACCAGCCTGAAACTGCCTGGCACACCAGCACCCTGGGATGGGGTATTCCCCTATCATTAAAACCTAAGAGACTGCATGTTTCATGAAATCACCACAAAACACCAAACTATGACAACTAGCAGTACCAAACAACTAGCAGTACCAATCAACTAGCAGTACCAAACAACGAAGTGAAACAAAAATAGTACCATACGATGTCCTGCATGTGCATTAGATGAAAAGGGTTCTATCACCAGACACTGCCTTTTACTGGCTGTTTTTTTTTTTTTTTTCCCAACTCCTTCTACCCCCTTGCAAGCCCATCCCATCCCCAGGGCTTAATTAGCAGAGCCACATACCTGAGGGGGAATGGCTCCTGTGCACATAGGCTGGGGGGTAGGGCACCTGCCGGCGTCCTCGGAGGCCAGAGTAGTGCTCGCAGCCGTGGTGCGTGTGTGGAGCAGGTAGAGGCAGAGGAGCTGCGTACTGGTAGCTGCTGTTTCCTGCTGTGCACACACCATCCGGGTTGGAGAAGAACCAGCCTCCCACTAGGACACACAGAGGAAGACAGAGAGGCACCCCGCACCAAAATCAGGTGGCCAGTTACCTTGCACAGCTGTTGCTTATGAATGACGCTGACACCTGCCCAGTTAGAGACACCAGCATCCTCCTGCTGATTCCCCTCCCCGTGAGCAGGTGGCCTGCAGATGGACCACACATAGGTCCTAGCGGAGTGTGGGAAGCCTCTTATGAACACTGGAACATAGAGAGCTACACAAAATATAGCCTCAATGCAGAAGTTCATAGAAATGCAAAAGCTAAGTTGCTTCTGGCTTATGTGAAGTAAAAGTCAGTCTGGGAAGCCTTAGATGAACATCCAGCTCACAGACCCACAGCCAGTAGGGGCTGTTTATTGTGTCACACAAAAGGAATGAAGGCCCTTCTATTTCTCCCTCTCTTTCTATACTCTCATGTCATAGAAACAGTTTCAGTGTTTTGTGATAATTTCGTGAAACGCATAGTCTCCCGGTTTCTAATGATGAGGGAATACCCCATCCCAGAGTGCTGGTGGACAAGGCAGCTTCAGGCTGATCTCTAAAAGCCAAGCCAAGTTATGAGGTCTGAAATAACAAGCGATACTGTCCACCACCAACCCGCCAACAGGATTCTGAGAGCACAGAGAACGAGAGAGCGCTGGCCTCACGCGCTTTGACAGCGAACATTCTGCATTTTAAAAGTCCACATAAGAATATCGCAGAAGAGGGGCTGGGAATTTAGCTCAGCGGCAAAAGCGCCTGCCTGGCAAGCGCAAGGTCGTGAGTTCGGTTCCCGGTACCGGAGAAAAACCAAAAAAAAAAAAAAAAAAAAAAAAAAAAAAAAAAAAAAAAAAAAAAAAAAGAATATCGCAGAAGAATTAGTGATGCTTCTCAACAGAAGACTACTTCAGGTGAGTTCCTGGGAAAGGCCTGATATTCGTAATGCAGGCATGTAAACACAGACAGGTAAAACCAGAGGCATGGTCTTCCACCTTATGCCCGCTGAGGTGACAGACAAGGGGTCCGACCGGACCAGGGCTGCTCCAGGATGATCCCATGGACCTCAGCAATGTGGAAGTGGAGCCTGGAGTTAGAACCCACTGTCATCGCTTCAATACAAACTGTACAGAGTTCATGTTACAAAGTGTGACTTCATTCTTCCCAACAGACCTTTTGTCATCTTTGTTTCCATATTGCTGTATAAATATAGGACCAACGTGGTAAGGGAGATCAAAACGGGCAGCCAGGAGTGGGAGGCTGAGACAGGAGGTTTACAAGTTCAAGCCCAGCATGGGTAACTCAGTGACTTAGCAAGACTCTGTCTCAAAATTTTAAAAAATCTTTCAAAAAGCACTGGAGGTGTAGCTCAGTGTGAAGGCCCTGGGTTCACTCTCCAGGGCCAAAAAAAAAACAAAAATAGGCTCCCCAACATACATTTCAGCTTCTTATTAGATGGCTACTCAGGCTGCAGCACAGGAGTGGCTCTGAAAAGCTTCCCTTTCTCAGGGGAGAGTTGCATGCAGACAGGCGGTCTGAGGCTCCCCTTATGGGCCTTCTCTGGACCCACCCAGAGATGTCCACACAATGTCGCATAGTCTTTGAAGGCTATCACCTGTGCAACCTCATCTGCATAATGAACAACCTTGCTCAGTGTCTCTTTCCCTCACTCTTCCATATTCACATCACAAACTTCCCCACCAGCAGCAGCCTCAAGCCCCTATTCTTTCTGCATCTCAAGACACTGTTTAAGCCTCAATCATCTGGCACTTTCCTTGAATATCATATTTTGTGTATGGCTCCCTGTTGATGCACATTTATAGACAGGTATGCTTTTTTATATTACTGTATTGTTAACTTATTTCATGGACTAAAATGATCAAACTTCAAAAGGCAAAATAGAACATTTAAAACTTCCCTATATTGATTAAGAATGTCAAGATCCAAGCGTCCAATGGGCAAAACCAGGCAAGAGGCCCCAGGAGTATTTCCTGTGCCACCTGTAATGTACAAACTCCAAGAAGTCTGCTGAGAAGGTTGCAACAGACGATCTTAGAGAAAGTGTCTCTGCATGTGGCCCTAACCTAAAAAGGGGTTTTTTCATTCCTCATCACTTAAAAAGTGTTCTTCTAGGGCTGCTTCTCCTTGTGGCTAGATGGCCATTCCTGGTATGCAAGATGCATGGAAGAAAGGACGAGGAGAGGGGGAAAGTGAAGAATTGCATAGCTGGAAAACTGCAGCCGGGATCTTAGCAATAAGCCTATAATACAAAGTTAAGATTGTGTCAGATGGCAGGGTTAACTTTGCTACTCTGATATCGCTAGCCTTGGGTTCCTATTGCAGCTCCAGGGGGTTCTCTCCCCCAGGAGGATGTGGAGAAAGTGGAACCTGCTGGGGACATTCAGCTCTACCTGAAGAATCCCAAGCTCTCCCTATGGCCCACCAGGTGACAAAGGCAGACTCTTCTTACATGCCAGCCCGCTGCCTCCCTGAGGCATTGCCACGGTGACCAGTGCCAAAATTTGCAAATACTGCAAATGGGAAAATGTAGAACAGTGAGGTAGGAGATCAGCCCAGAACGCACTGTTACACACTGTTAGCCTCCCTCACATGAAAACAAGGCCCAACTAATCACTACCATTTCTGTCTCCTACCTAACATACATTGGAGCCCCTTAAGCCTAGAATAATACCGGCTGGCTCTGGGAACTCTGGGAAGGACCTAAGTGTATCTTAGGCGGAAGAAATAACTTGTGGTGGTCTTGGTTTGGCCTAGGCCCTAAGCAGTCATGCAGGTAAAAAGTCTGAAGGTTGGACCCACACACCACCCACATAAAGTCCCCCAACTCACAGTGAGAATAGGCCACATGCTGGCCCTCAGAGACAGTCTCCGGAATGTCTTTTAGGTGATTTCTGAAACAGTAATAAAGTCATAGATTACTGTATAAATCTAGTACAAAGCATGCTCCAAACTCTCTTTGGAGAGCAATAAATTACATGGAATAAGAACACCAAATGCCTTTTATCTCAAAACTATTGCCTTTTCCCAGGACAGTGTCTACTTGTGCAACTGCTCTGTGAGTGGAAGCTTTACTGTCACCTTTATTCCCACGTTTATATTCCCCCCCATTTAGTTTGATCTTAAGGACTCATGATTATTGCTCCTACCTGACAAGATTCAGGCGATAGTAACAACAGCTAAGATTTGCATAGGACGTTGGGACACAATTACATCTGTGATTCGCTAGGTCCACCAATGAGCCTATGAGGGAAATATTTCTATACCCACTGTGCAGATGAGGAAAGTAGATCTCACAAAGTAAACTGACTTACACAAGATGAAACAGCTGGGAAATGGCAAGGTCAGGACTCATATTCAGGATATCTTACTCAAAGCTCCAAATTCCTGTTATTATATCATGCTACTATCATTTTGACTGTAGATTCTGTCATCTCACTTACACGCTTGTTCTTTACAATTTTGTTGTATGCAAAATTATAAGTATATATCATCTATATTTATTAAAGTACTGAACAGAACAGATTCCTGTGACAAATCATTACAAACATTTATCTATTAATTAAGAGCCTTTCAAACAAAAAGGAAAGATTAGACAGTTATAAAAATAAGTGAAAAGATTCAAAATTCATGCAAAAAAAATCTGAACATTACAAAATGATCATATTTACACTCTAAGCCTTGTCAATAAAAAAAAAAGTCAACAATAAACACCAGTATCTTTCATCTTGCCCTAGAATGGAAAAGAAAGCTAAAGATGGCTGGCCACTGGCCCAAAATGGTAGGGTCGCCATTCATGCCCCAGAAGTCTCTGCTTTTCTCCCAGAAGTCTCTGCCGTTCTCAGCCTAGGAAATAGGAACCTCCTGACACTATTTACCTTTTCTAGGCTAAGTGTTGGTTTTCTAAAAACAGAACAAAACAAAACAACAAAAAAAAAAAAAACAGCCTATAAAAACCATATTACTCAAAGGTCACGGGAAAAAGCTAGGTAAATTCTTCAAAGTCTAAATCATTTTTAATGTGGTTGTGCTACTTTCAAACATCTGTAGAAAAAAGTAAGTCTGACAAAATATTGCCAGCCCAAAGTTCTGAACCACTGCTACTGGGAACATTTATAATTTGGTTTAATTTTGCTAATTCTGTAAAACGTTAAATTCAATCCTGAATCAGACTTCTATTAAAAGTAATACAAGCACCACTAGGCTAGTTCTTTCTAAGATGATAATAAATTCCATACTTCAGAGGTCGATTCATAACATTTTCCTGAAACTTCTCTACTCACCTTTCCTTGGCATCCAAGAAGGCCTTGGCAAAAGGGTTGTATTTGATTTTGAGAGCTGTGATCTTGCATTTGCAAAGACAAGAAGGGTTAGTGAACTGGAACATGCATGGGCAGACAGAACCCTCCATCTTCATCTGCGAATTTCTGTAAAATAGGGTAATTCCCTCTCTCCTTTTTTTTTTTTTTTTTGGTTTTTCTCTGGTACCGGGAACCGAACTCACGACCTTGCGCTTGCCAGGCAGGCACTTTTGCCGCTGAGCTAAATCCCCAGCCCCTCCCTCTCTCCTTTTTTTTCCTTTCTTCTTATGTTTCTTCGCTTACTCTTGCGCTAAATCACTGAGGCACTATCTCTGGCAAAAGATATTTTATTACGACTCGTGGTGAAAGTGATAAGTGGCAGCTGGGCAGAGCGGCACATGCCTGTAATCTCAGCACTCGGGAGGCTGAGGCAGAAGGACTGCAGCAAGTTGGAGCCCAGCCTGGGCTACATGGTGAGCTCAAGGCCAGTCTGAACGACACAGTGAGACCCTGTCTCAAAAAACCAGGAAATGCCAAGTGGCATGTAAAGTGAGCAAAGAATTGGCAAAGCATTAGAAATGAGCAAAGCCCTCCTGTACATACCTAGCATTGAGGTTTTTATTCACTTTTCATCTTCCCAGCAATCACTGAGCACTGACTATATGTAAGCTCCTTTTCTTGTCACTTGGAACACAATGGAAAGCTCTCCAGTTGTGATCCCACCCCAGATGGAGAGTACAATCTCACACTGGTGACTTTACTCTTAAATAATCACCAGCTGGACCACTCGTTCAAAAAACAAATCATCACTCCTATGCATTCATGACCTGGCCCCCTTAGTCTCAGCCTGCTTCTTTTCCCCTCAGAGCTATCTGACATAAAGACAAACATAGAAGCAGGGACAAGGACAGAACAGAGGTGGGTACGGAATACTGTTTTCAGTCTGTCCTCCGTGGGATGGAAACGCCTTGAGGACAGGGTTCATCTATTTTATCCTCTGCAGTCTTCCCAGCATCCAGAAAAATACCCAACAAATTTTTGTTGAATAAATAAATATTGAAAAGAATATTTATCTCAACAAGATCCTGAGATCTTTTCGTACTTCTGTGCTATTAGTCCACCGTATGCTTTTTAAGTAAACACAGACTACCTTTAATTTTTTTTAAGTTTAATCAAAGAGAATCCAGTGCTTCCCAGGTGTTCCTAATGGTCAGCAGGCCTAGGAACCCCTTGAGGATGTGAATGAACCCAAACCAGTCCACAGAGAGGCAAGACTATGAATGTTGCTTGTTTGTTTACTTGTTTGTTTGTTTTATGTGGTACTGGGGATTGAACCCAGGGAATTCACACTGAGCTATTCCCCCAGTTTTTTTATGTTTTTATTTTGAAAGAGGGTCTTGCTAAGTCACCCAGTCTGGGAACAAATTGGAGATCCTCCTGCCTGTACCTCTCAAAGTATACCACCACACCCAGCTTACATCCTGAATTCTGACTATCAGCCACAGTGTTAAGTTACAGTGCAAGAAAAGACTAACATGCTCAGAAATCAAACATTAACAAACAAGACATGTCACATAATTAACCCCCAAGTGAGGGTGTACATTTGCATAAATTTCCACAGACTTGCTTCCAAACAGGTGGGAGTCGGTGATAACCATGCCAGATTCACCTAGCTCTGTGCAGGCCATGGGTCTTTTAGGGCCCCCAAAGATTCCTGAGGTTTAACAGAACTTGAGAGTTGTATTAAATGTGTCTTATTGAAACCAGAAGAGCATCCACTGGCCAGCTGGTCATTCCTGTCCCGGAGGCGCCATACAATAGGTACATACTTGCTGTCCCCTGGGGGTGCTCTTGCAGGAGACTGTGGGACCCTGGCCCCACCCTCACTCTTTTGCATGGAGCGGGGAGCATGTTCTATGTACTGAACCCAGGGCTCATCAGGTTAGGCAAGCACTGAGTTACCTCCCCAGCCATTTTTAACTTTTTTTTTTGAGAGTCTCATTAAATTGCCCAGGCTGGCCTTGAACTTGCAATCCTCCTGGCTCAGCCTCCTGAGTAACTGGGATTACAGGCCTGCACCACCACACTCAGGTGGTCCTCATTCTTCCCTGCTCCTTGGCCAGGAGGTGAGTGGTTTTACACCTGTCATGATGTGCTCCCTTGCCAAATGCCCAGAAACAAAACTACAGGCCAAAATAAACATTTTCCCTTTCTGAGTTGATTATGTCAGGCATTGGTGCTGGTGATATAAAGCCGATGAACAGGCTGGGCGTGGTGACGCATGCCAGCACTCTGGTGGCTGAGGCAGGAAGATCACTGTGAGTTCAAGGACAGCCTGAGCTACAAAGTGAGTTTAAGGCCAGCCTGAACTAATAGCAAAACCCTGTCTCAAAAAGACAGAAGGAAAAAAAAGGCCAATGAACAAACGGGTCTTTGGCTAGAAGAGGGAGAGAAGAGCAGCTACCCCATTACTTAACTTCACCACTGCTGAGAGTATCTGAATCCTGGAAAACGTATCCTTCATCCGCGCCTGCTCATGGCAGTAAAGAATCCCCCTCCCCCTTCTGCCATGCTCTGCCAAGGGTGCGCGCGCACACACACACACACACACACACACACACACACACACACGCACTTACCTCCTCGTTCTGATAGGCAGTCACAGCTATGAACTGGGTTTCAGGGAAGGAGCAGTTCATTACCATGCGGTGGGCACCTCCAACGCGCACTATGTGAACCTGGGGTTCATACTTATGCAGAGAATTCAGCATTATCTGTTGAAAAGGGGAACGAAGATACAGAGAAGCCGAGCCAAGCCTGGTGTATGGCAAGTGACAGGCTCGCCAGCACCTGTGGTGAGCTCCCACCCATCCATCAGGGACACACGGGGAAAGTCCTAGGTCCCCTGAGTTGTCTCCGCACCACTGAGAAAGGAGTGAGTCTCATTTTTCAAAAGTTCTCAGGAGCCAAGCACTGAGGCTAACACAGGTCTCAGGGTGGGTTATCAGAGAGGAGCTGTTCCTAAGTGTTCTGTGTTCTGCATTCCATTTTCATCCTTCCCTGTTTTCAACACAATGTTCATTTCAGTCCATTAGACCATGTGTTCTATTTCATGTGAAGAATAATTCAAAACGGTAGCTGCCTTTCCCTGGTGACTAAAGGCAATCAGACACTCAGTGGTTAGATACAACCCACTCTATGATGCAAATGAAAGGTTACTGGAAGCCTCATGCTGTGACGTCTGGTAGGCAATAACAACTTACTTTTCAATTTCTGGTTTTAATAAAGAACTACTAGAACCTTCTGAATCACAGATTCCCATGGCATTCTTTCTCGCTCCTGAAAAACAGAGCCTCCTGCTCCTTGACAGTTAAGCATCGAGAGGACAGAGAAGGTCCAAGACTGGGACAACAGTTGCAAAGAAGCTGAATATGTGGAACTGAGAAGAAAATGAAGGCCTTTTCTCTCAGTCATGTCTTGGTCCCCCAGCAGCCTCCATTTTGTAAGGCAACTAGCATCCTGGACGGGAGACCAGTATGCACCGCGCTACCAGAGAAACCCGGAGGAAAAAGCCCCTACATCATGTTTACTGTAATGGAAGACCTTTAATAAAACCTGCCTTATTTAAGGTTTGTTTGGATTTTTTTTTCTGAAAAACCAAAGCTGATTCAATATTCTATTGATAATTATCATAATGCCCAAGCAGAAGAAGTAATTATTTCATTTAGGAGCAGCTTTTTATTAAGGTAGTTGTCTACTGCCAACATGCCACTTACACCAGAAAAGGGGAGAGAAAATAACAAAACACTGGTACCCACAAACATTTCCCTCCTGGGGCCGGGTAAAAAGCACACAAGACAAAACTATGAAAAGAGGTCTGATGATTAAGTAAACAACTGTGTGCTCTTTCTCTTCACATCAGGAAGTCCATTAAAAACTGAAAGCACCAATTAAGAGCTGTTTATTCCTGTTTACATTTGGACTCCAGGGAATAATTGGCTTCTGTGGGAGAAGAGGCTGGTGAGGACCCCTCTAATTACCTAAATGCACCCTTGATATTTCTTGATTGGCACTCTGGGGAGGTGGCACGTACCTGCCCACCTCCATTCAGCTTGTTGGTCAGCTTCACTTTGCTGAAGGAGATGGGAGCCTTCATCCAGTGGGCCCCAAAGTTGGGGGAATCGGGGTGGATGTAGACGCAGCTGTGGCTGGAGACCTCTGGTTTGCCCGCGGGCACCCACTCCCCATTGACATACTTCCAGCGGTGACTGTCCGTAGGGACAAAGTCCAACAGGAGGGAGTACATGGCATTGGGGTCCAGCCCTGTGACACTAATTTTCAGGACAGGGAACATCCGTCTGAAAGAAAACACAGAAACTTAGAGGCCGGCAGGAGGGTAGAGGACCTCCCCACCTTGCCCAGAGGTCAGCTTTCAGAGGAGCTTCCATGGAAAGGCCAGAAAAGACCCACATCACAGGGGCCGGGGCCACAGGCCAGTTCCTTCCCTCCAGGACTTCTCAGAGCCATTCACATAGTAAAGCACAGCCTGCGCAGGGAAAGAAGGTATGGGATTCTGCAGCCCCTAAACTTGACAATGGAACTAGCATTTCTCTAAGCATTTTGTGGGACTCTGTCAAGAAATACACTTTGAGATAGACAGATCTGGACTCCTTGGTCCTCTTTCACCCTCTAGAATAGCACCAATAAGTTCCTGGCACAAATATTTGGAGAAGCTATCCAAATAGCTGGCTTCTGATTCTAGAGCAATTCTATCATCCCGCCCCCCAAAAAACTCTACAGCCGTTAGCAGTCACTCTTTGTTTTACCTACTCTGCTTCCAGAAAAAAAGGCAGAGGCAAGTGGCTCCTGCCAGCCAGGCAGGAGAGAGGCGGATCTGACATCCTTTGTACATCGAGTTCTCAAAGTCACTGCCTAAGACTGCAAGACAGAAGCAGGGTGGCCAGCGGAAGGGCAAGGTGCCAACACTTCCAGAGCACTTTTTAGATGTCAAGCAATAGTACCTTACAAGAATTAACTCATCGAGTTTTTGCAGCAACTTTATGAAACTATCTCAATGTGTTCCAAGAGAGAAAAGCAGTTTAAATAGATGAGGCCATGTATGTGAATTAAATGAAATTTCTAGGGAGGAAGCTGCACCTGATGATTCATTCCAGATCTGAGTCTTGGCTGAGAATTGCATCCCTCTCCCATTTCCTCCTTTACAGGGATGACTGGATCTTCACAAGAACTAAAATGAGGACCTCCTCAGGGAGGCTGTGTCTATAACGCAAAATCTTCCCCTGTATCTTGTTGTTGCTGCTCTTTCTTCAGCAGAAAGATGTTTCCTCTGTTGTTTTCTCTTGATTTCACAGTAGGCTATTCCCTTTTGCTGCATATTTTACCATTTTCAATTATTTTAATAGTATTAGCCAAGTATAGACAACAGAAAGCCCCTGGACAAACCAGCGCTATTTGCAATCACAAACGTAGCCATGAGAAGTTGTCACAGGGATGGCCTGTGGTCAGGGACCTGGTTTATTTTTAGGTGGTGCACAGGGAAACAGTCTCTGTCTTCCAGCCTTGTGCTTTTCTAAAGTGTCAAAAAGTTTACTCCATTTTTATTTTACTTTACACAGAAGTGACACACATGTAATTGCCATTTACCACAAGAAGCTTAAAGCATCAAAAGTTTTAGCAATAAAAATATGTAGTGCATATAAATTTTTTAAAATAAAGAAAGGAAGCTATACAAACACACTCATTCCCCTAGCATGCAGTGAGCAGCCAGCCGGCTAATACAACTGCTCGTAACAATAGCAAGACTGGGGTCTTCATGACACAAATCGCTCATAAACATCATATAGCTCTGACTTCAGATCTAAGACGTCATTTAATGCAAAATAGTTTTTCTAATGAAAACAGGTTACTCTGCACCTATGACTTAGCATATGTCATACCTCATTTAAATCTCACTTTCTCCCAAGGAGGCAGATAGCCCACTTCACAGATGAGGACACTGAGACTCAGGAAGCACAAGCACATGCTGGCTTATTCTGCCCTAGTGCCTCCTCTTCTACTACATTAGCCACATCTTTTTTCGGGGGAGGGGGTATTGGGAATCGAACCCAGGGCCTCACACTTACCAGGCAGGCGCTGTGCCACTGAGCTGTATCCCCAGCCTGCCACATCTTTTTTTGACGGTCTCTTTTCTGATACTTCTAGAAAGTTAATATAGTTGGGCCACAGCAAAAGGAAAGGTCCTCTCGATGTTTTCCCAAACCTCAATACCTAACTGGAGATTCATTTATTCATTTAATGAATGATTTTTTAATGCCTGCTCTATGTCAGGAATTTTTCTATGATGACCAAAACAATCACAAGTCCATTGTCTTCCTGCCCATGAAAACTACATTCTAACAAAGAAATCAGACAACAAAATGTAAATGAATAGTTGTTAATGTATAAGAGAGAGAGAGAGACTCTGTGTGGGTGTATGTGTGTGTATGTGTGTGTGTATGCCCATGCTAGGGATTGAACCATGGCCTTCACACTGAGCTATAACCTCAGCTCTTTTTATTTTTTAGTTTTGAGACAGGGTCTCACTACATTGCTAAGTGGCCAGCCTGGTCCTGAAGTTTCAATTCTCCTGTCTCAGCCTCCTATAGAGCTGGGATGACAGGTGTGTGCCACTATGCCCAGTTCATAAGATCATTTTAGTTTGCAAGGGTGCATGAACTCCTTTGACAAGAATCAAGACTGGTGATGTCACAGAGAGCAGGGTGAGGAGCTACGTGAGCAGGTCTGAACAGACAAAAGTCAGGGAGCAACACTGGAGCTCAGACCCAAATAAGAAGAAATTTTGTGCTAGCTGCCCCAGGAGCTGCACGTGCAGGCCAGAGGAATGGCACACACAGTAGTCTGGGGGTCGAGAGGCCAGGTCTGCGGAAAAACCAAGAGAGAAGTCCAGAGTGGCTGAAGGAACCTCACTTCCATCCCCTTCCAATCAGTAGGGTGGCTTCTCCTCCCTCAGCTCTGCCCTACTGAGTCCCACAAGGATGTGGCACCACTTTTCAATCCAGGATAAGAAAGCATGTGGCCGGGGATAAAACTCAGCGGCACTGCCCGTGCCTGGCAAGTGCAAGGTCATGAGTTCAATTCCCGGTACCAAAAAAAAAAGAAAAGGAACACTCAAAGGAAGCATGGGGTGGCATTTCTTCCTTCATTCTGTGCAGAGCTACGTTTTGCTTTTTGTTTGTTTGTTCGTTGTGACATTGGGGATCCAACCCAGGGGCTTCACAGGCAGCGTCACTCTCCACCCTTTTTTATTTTTTATTTTGAGATGGGGTCTCACAAGTCATTAAATTGCCCAGGCTGGGTTCAAATATATGATCCGCCTGCCTCAGTCTGGCGGAGAACTGGGATTACAGCTGTGCTCTACCACTTCCTGCTGATACTAGATGTTTTAAAGAAGCTGAGATCACAGGAAAAGATGGTCAATGTCATTAGCATCAAAAAACACAAATGGAAACTACAGTGAATGCCCTTCACAGCAGGCAGGATGGCTATCAGAAAAAGCCAGACCATAACAAGTGTTGGCAAAGACACAGGGATGTTCGAACCCCCAAACCTTGCTGGTGTGGAAATGTAAAATGGTGCAGTCTCCTTGAAAACAGCCGGGAAGTTCTTCATCTTATTAAACAGAGTTTCTAACAGTGCAATTCCACTCCTAGATAGGTATATAGGAAAAATGAAAACATAAGCCCACACAAAAATCTGTACACTGCCAAGCATGGTGGCCCATGCCTGTAACCCTAGCACTGTAGAGGCTGAAGAGGATTGAAAATTGGAGCCCAGGCTGGGGAATTTAATGACATAGTGAGATCCTGTCTCAAAATAAAAAATAAAAAGGGCTGGGGATATAACTCAGGGTGAAAACCCTGGGTTCAATCCCCAGAACTACACACACACACACACACACACACACACACACACACACAGATGATGGAAATATATGGTATTTCTACTGCGGCTTCAGAAAGTGGCAAGAATGATGAGACAAGTGTGTGCAAAGAAAGGGAGAATATTTTAAAGAGGGTTCATGGTGATGTATCATTTACGATCATCATTTTTTTTCATTTAAACATTTGCGGTAGCTTTCACTTGCACCACGAATGTTTGTGAAACATGTCACATGGGTGTTCACACAGGTGAAAGGGAGCAGGCATAAGAGGAGCTGTGGGCACCAATTAAAAGCAAATCAAGAAGGAAGAAAGCATAGCCCAAGGGGTGGAAGTGTTCCGCTCAGGAGCAAATCACACTGATGCTTTTGATCTTCTTGAGTTCTAACTGTAAAGTTTGAAGGGAAAAAAAATCCATGGTCGCACCAACAGGGACGTGAGCTCGCCTGATGCGCCCCTTACCTTTCTCCCCCAGTGCTCACTGGGACTGGGTGCCTCAGCCCAGCGCCTCTGCGCCCACACCCTTAGCTTTCAGCAGACTCAAAGCCAGGGATTTCCGCACCTACCCATGGTAGAAAATGGACACACCAGGTACATCAGAGAATGCTGCCCAGGTCTTAAAACCTGCTGAAGGCGGATTTCATCAAACCAAAATTATTTAACTGCATGAAAATATACATGAAATATACACTTCATCCTCAGGTGGACATGTTATAGGTTTAAAAAGTGCTTGATAATGGCCTCTGTGGTCAGAAATGTATTTTTCTGCAAGCTCAAGTGTAAGTTCCTAGCTTAAAGGATGGAGATAAAAGAAAATATAGAATGAACCCACGAGAGTAAGTCAATGGGCTCTAGAAAAGTTTTGTAACTGTTACTCATATCTGAAAAACCATTGAATAGGAATAACTAAAAATTTTAAGTTATTTTAATAGAAGTTGTAGAAACAACTCTAAGTGCACTCAGCTATCTTATCTTTGACAAAAGGAGCCAAACACCTTCACTGGAAAAAAAAAAAAGGAGCCTCTTTAAGAAGAGGTGCACTTGCCCATATGCCCATCAAAAGATGAATGGATAAAGAAAATGTGGTATTCATATACCATGGAGTACTGCTATGCCATAAAGAAGGATAAACTTGAATCATTTGTTGGAAAATGGGTGCACTTCGAGACCATAATTTTTTTGAGACAGGGTCTTACTATGTAGTGCAGGCTGGCCTTGAATTTCTTATGTAGCCCAGGCTGGCCTCAAACTCACAGTAATCCTCCTGCCTCAGTCTGCTAACTGCTGGAATTACAGGTGTGCGCCACCACACCCAGTTAAGACCATAACCTTAAGTGAAATAAATCAGACGCACAAGTTAAACAATGCACTGCTTCTCTCGTGAAAAACCCAAAGGGTAAATAAGGAGCATAATGGAGGACAGATATTGGGAAGTAGAAGCAGCATGTTCCAACAGGAAGGGGACAAGGGGGGATGCGAAGAAGAGAAAGGAAAACAATGAAAATGGAAGGAATAAAATGGAAACAATGTTTTTGTAAATGAGAAGGGAAAGAAGTCGTGAAGGGAAGGGAGGGGAATGGGGAAAAAATGAAAAAGCTATATTACACACAGGTACAAATTCCCTACAATGAATGTGATCAGTATGCATGACAAATATGAACTAATAAAAAATAAACTTGAAAATTGTAAGTTAAAAGAAATGGGGGAAGGGGGGCTGGGGATTTAGCTCAGCGGCAAAGTGCCTGCCTGGCAAGCGCAAGGTCGTGAGTTCGGTTCCCGGTACCGGAGAAAAACCAAAACCAAAAAAAAAAGAAATGGGGGAAGGTTAAGCAGGGGGACGCAGGCCTATAATCTCAGCTACTTGGGAGGCTGAGGCAGGCACATTGTGAGTTCCAGCCAGCCTGGGCTACATAGGCAATAGAAAGACCCAATCTCCAAAGGGGCAGGGGAGTAGAGAACAGGGAGGGATGCACGAGGGAGGAAAGAAAGGAAGAGATGGAGGGTAAGAGAGAGGGAGGGAGGGGGAGGTCGAGGAGCTAAGGCCCCATCGGGATGCCAGTTTTGGAGGATGACGGGATCTTCCAGTGAAAATCCTCCCTTCCCTGCTGCTGATCAATGTCGGATACAATCGTCCTGTTGACATACATGACAGTGGATCTACACTGGACAATGAACGTTCATTCTTTCATCAGCTCATCCCATGTGGTTCAAAGTGTGCTAGCACGCAGCCCAGTAAGACAACAAATAGGCGCCATCTGTTTACGCCAACTGAAGCTTCTGAGAAAACTCAGAAAGCCGTGAGGCCTAAGAAGGAAAAAAATCAAACAAAGCTTTTGTAAATAAGGAGGTGAAAAGGGGTTGAAGAGAGGGGAGGGGAATGGGAAAAAAATAATCAGATTCCTTGCGATGAATGTGACCATTATACCACTATGTATACCTAAAATGTACCAATAAACTTAATGAATAATAATTTTTTAAAAAGCCATAGGCCGAAAGGGCCAGGCAGCCCGTGGGAATGGGAGAGAGCGGCCTGGCTCCAGTCTTCTCGGTAGAGAGGCTTGAAAGCTCCTGGGGCAGCTCAGGCCGGGCATGGAGAGGGGCTTTGGAGCAGACACCGGGATCCCAGGCGAGGGAATGGGTGAGATGGCGACGGGAATAGAAGGCGGAGGGGCGAAAGAAGGTGGAGAGTAAAGAAGATGAAATAAGAAAGCCAGGTCTACCTCAAGAGCAGCAGAGCGCTACTAGTGGCTTAGTCTGAGAAACTAAGGAAACTGAGAGGCATTCCAGATCGAGCTCATTCATCACTACCTGCAGCCCTTGCTCAGGATCTTGTCTCCCCTCTTTACCTAGAGCGTGGAGGGAACTTTTTAATCTTCTGGCACTGTGTTGACCCTAAGGTTTTCAGAGACCTCGGGGAAAGGATTTAAGAAAAAGACCCTGTTTCCCCGAAAATGAAACCTCATCAGAAAATAATCAGCCTTGAAAACTAAAGATCAAAAATGCCAACCCCAGTCAGACCACCCTTACCTTGCCTTGCTGCCTGCCTGCCTTACATCAGCTCCTCCAAACGGCAGGAAAGGCAAGGATGAGCGGATTGGGGCATTTTTGATCTCTAGTTTCCAAGGCTGATTATTTCCCCGTTAGGTCTTATTTTGGGGGGAACATGGGATTTCATTTGGAGGAAGGGAAGACAGCCATAGATAACAAGAGCAGATTTGATCACAATTAGACTGTTTTCACAGAAAATGTTTTTTTACATAGTTCATATGAAGTTATTTTAAACATAAACAATTTTAAATATGGAAAATTTTTTTTATTTAGGTGGGAACAGGCAAGAAACACTTTTGAAGTGGTAAAAGTGCATTCTGATGTGACTTACTATTCAATTAGATTTGGAAGCTTTTTTTACTTTTTCCTTATTGATGTTGAGGAGATGTCTTCTTAATTGGTGACTTTACTTATTTCATCATAATACACAGCCACTTTGACACCAAACAGCAGCGTGAGGCTAGGTATTAACATAACTACTAAGTAGAAAGAATAATAAACAGAAGATCCACATATACCCACATGCAGTAAAGTTTTCACAACTGTATCATCACTCACCTTTGAAAGAAAAGAGATTAAATCCAATTAAATTGAGCACCTTACCAAGACCTGTCTGAAAGGGGGAGGGGCTGGAGGTGTGGGTAAGTACAAACACTGTGGGTTCAATCCCCAGTACCGCAAAAAGAATTTCTTTCCTTGAAATTAGAAACATGTTTTATATTTCTTTCTACCAAAGGTGCAAAAAATGATGTGTAAATACAGCTCAAGCAGAAGGAACACTCATCCTTAGAATTATAAATATTACAAGCAATAAAACTTCTATATAACATAAGCATGGGACCCAGTTAGAGAGAAAAATACAAATATCAGGGAGGTTGAGAGTCCTACTGCCAGTCTAATCATACGTTATCAACATGCCCTTACTTCAGGTACAGCTTTCACTTACGAAGCACGTCACTGTCATTTGACAGCTCTCAAGTTTGTAATTCTCCCAGATGGACAAGGAATAGTTCATTTCTTGTCCTGTGTTCTATTCAAAAATAGAAAGCCAAGACATCAGGAACTAGGAGCACTGTGCCCAGGGTCAAAGGCTCACCACAAATTCAGCTGACCTAAACTTTCTCTTTTAGCAAAATTTCTATCAAAGTAGCCCGAGGGGGATACTGCCCAAACTCACCCTGCAGGAAATGTCTTGGGTGTTTTGTGCTTATGCGCCCACGGGAACCAAAAGATATGTGAGCATCAGCTGAATGTTGGGAGCCACCGAGGCCAAGCTGCAGGCAATGAGGTTTTCTTTCAAAACATTTGCAATTCCTCCAGGAAGCAAAAGCTTCTAGTATTACCTAGATAACCAATTAGCAGACTAGATTTAATAGAATTTGAGAAATGTCAAGAGTTTAGTTTCCATTAATCCCTTTTGGTAGGGTAAGAAAAAAAAAAGAAGGCAACTTCTCTAAGGCGGTAGATTATGAATTCGTTCTCTGTTCCTGCAACGGCTCGCATATCATCACAAACACAACCGCAAATGAACACTCACCCCAAACACACTGGGAAGCAGACGGAGGGAGAGGCAATGAGATTAAATCTGCTCCTTTGCTCCCAATCTTCAACCAGTCAAAAATTTCTGGCAGTGTTAAAGAGGAACCATCCAGTTTCCAAGTAGAATTGACATTCACATTATCTAAGCAGAGTTCAAGCATGAGTCTGCTCCAAGCTAGCCAGTCAGTCAAAAATTAATATTATTTTCTGACATTTGAGTGCATTTCCCCAATCCATGGGGCATGCCCTCCCATTAGAGTAATTTCCCAGAATTTCTCCACTCCACACGCACGAAAGACAGGTGGCTTCATCTTCCACTTCTCTGATGATCTCAGAGAATTAATTAAGTTGACAGCCATGTGAGCCCGTCCTTCTGCGCGTTAATCAGACCCTGCTGCCTGCCCGAGTGAAGAGCAGCAGCCTCTTCAGTATTCAAGGGGTCTCATCTCCCTTGCCGAGCCACTCCAGACCCACCAGAGCAGCAGATATACTCACCTGCCATTCTTGGTCACGATCATTTCATTAGTGACTTCCTTGAATCTCTGCCACAGGGGTGCATCCTCCAGGATGATCTGAAGTTGCTTCTCTGTGGGGTCACCTTTCTCCCTCCCGGCCTGAAGCTCACTTTCCACCACATTGAGCAGGCGAGAGACGGTGCCTTCGCTGGCCTTCGGTGTGCCCAGCTCACTCATGGCCACGGGCCCCTCTCAAACTTTGCTTAGCACCGTCACCCACCTCGCCTGCTTTGAGCTCCTTCCTCCTCTCACCTGCCTGCTTTCCAAGCCCAGCTGGTCCAAGCCTGAGGAGCCAGAAGAAGATGCCCTGGCTCTTGCTTAAGCTCCTACTGCGACACCCCTTAAAGTCTCCAAATTATACCACCAACCTGTTAAGCTCCAGTTGGGGAGCGGGGTGGAGGGAGAGGAGAGATAGGGAAGAAAAAGCCCTCTCTTAATTACTCATTGGATCAGGTGGGAGAGAGGCCAGCTTTCCCATTGGCTGCTGTGCCTAGAGGAGACGTTTAAGAAGAGTACTCCATCCAAATTATCAGGCTTTTATCTTGTTGTACCTGAAGAGGTCTAATCGGTGTATTGAGGACCATTTTCCCGTTAATTAAAATTATTCCAGGCCCAGACAGCAACAATCAGGCAAATCATGTTTGTGTATAAATCAGGCACGTAGCACCTATAGGAAAGGAGGTCCTGGGGAGAACTGACCAATTTGGGGCCAATGCAGGGTGTCATGAGACAGCAGAGAGCCTAGATCCGTCAGCGACGCTCAGCACCTTGGGCCAAGGTTGAGACCCTGGATGGAATTGCAGAGGTGGCAGTTCAAAGGCACCCCAGCAAGAAACAAGTCTACTGAGCCCCAGAATAAATTAGGATGCTCTTTGGGCCACGCTCTGGGGTCCAAGCTCAGGAGAAGCGGAACTGTTAAGGACCCTCCTCTCCCGGGGTGTTTCCTCTGGTCATCTCTCTCCCACACACACACACCTTACTCCTCTTGAGGGCCCTGTTCACCTCCACAAACAGAAGAGCTTTCAACCTTGTCCTTGCTCCCCAGATTCCAGAGCCCAAATTTTTCTTCTTTCCAGCTTTAGCCAGAGGGTGGGGGAAAAAGCAGTCAGTACTATATTATTCTCTTCCAAAAAAATTAAAAAGTCACCCTGCTTCCAATAGGTAAAAATAAACATTTTACATGATTATGCAAAGCAATTTTAATCTTTGGATCAAAATAGCTCCCTGGGTTTCTCTTTAGACATCCTATGGCCTATTCTAGCCTTCAGAGGTGAATCCCCACCTTTCCTGAGGAGACACAGCTAGTAGAAGAATTTCACTTTACCCCTACTACACAGTACAGATGGACAGGAAACAGGGGCAGAGAGGACAGGAACAGAGGTAGCTCAACCTCCCGGTCCTGAGTGAAGTAATTCCTGGAACCTGTGGATATATTATCTCACCTGATCCAAAGGGAGCTTGCATATGTGGTTAAATTAGGAATTAGAGGTGGAGCAATTTTCCTGGGTTATCTAGGTGGGCACAGCATAATCCTAAGGGCCTTTATAGTAAGGTGGGGTAAGAAGGTCAAAGTCAGACAGTGAAGATTAAGGACAAAAGCAGGAGTCAAAAGGGAGAGAAGACGCTACACTGCTGGCTTCAAAGATGGAGGAAGGAGCCACAGCCATTGTGTGCGACCAGCTGCTCAGAGGTGGAAAAGGCAGGAAAATGGGTTCACTCCTTCAAAAAGAAAACTACCCATACTCTCAAATTATCACAGACCTGCAGTAGGGACAGAAGCCTGCCAATCGATGAATTTCAGCCCAATGAAACTGATTTTGAACTTCTGATTACCAGAGTGTAAGATAATAAGTTTCTATTATCTTCAGCCACTAAGTTAGTAATTTGTGTCAGGAACAGCAGGAAACTAATGCAAAGACCATAAGACACCTCAGGGGAGATTTCAAGAGGGCACTGCCCAGAACTGCGGCTCGATTGTGGCTCTGAGCTCCCTAGAAACTAGTTTAGTGTACTTTCCACTGAGTTCCTAGAATAAAAACCAGTCATTTGCTTGTGGAAACTTCCTACCATGAGTTTTTACATGACAAGTGCTGTGATGCAGTGAACGATGACCCCCTGTATTAGTCAGCTTACCTTTTCTATAACAAATGACTGAGATAAATGAATCTGAAAAGACAGAAAGGTTTACTCTGGCTCACAGTTTCAGAGGCTCCCATCCATGGTCACCGGCACTGTTGCCTTTTGGCCTGCGGCACCATGGCATAGCACAGGGAGAGTGGGTGGTGGCAGAGGCACATTTACTTCACAGCCATTGCAAAATGATGGAGACAGAAAAGGGCCAGGGTCCCCATACCCCCTCCAAGGGCACTCCCTGGGAGTGCCCTTACTTCCTCTCACTAGGCCCCACCTCCTAAGGGTGCACCTCCTCTGGGTAGCACCACAGACTGCGAACCAAGCCTGTAACACATGGGAGTCACTTCAAGTCTAAACTGCAGCACGCCCCTAAGTAGAGCATGCCCAGCAAGAAGCAGGGATCCTTCCCTTCAAGTAGTTTTATACTCTGGGACAGGGATGGCAAACCTTTTAGAGCTTTCAGCAATAACAAACAGCCCACTGCAGCATCCATGCCACACTTTCACCACCACTCACTGCTCTAGGAGGAAAAAGACCTGCCTAGGGAATTCCAATACATAAGCACCAGTCAGGGAGAAATGAAGGGAGTACTGTGGTTTTTAATCAACTATGCAAAGCGGTGTGCTCCTGTGTTATAGTTTGGATCTGGACTGACACTCAAAAGCCTCATGTGTTCGGAGGTGGGGCTTTTGGAAGACGACTGGATTATGAGGTTGCTATAATCATGAGTGAGTTAATGCCCTGGTAAATCCCAAGCAGAATGTGCTATTAGGAGACAGGGTCTGGCCAGAGGAGGCAGGTCACTGCTTGCGACCTTGAAGGGTCTATCTCCCTCCCTGGCTCCTCCCTTTCCTCTCTGTTTCCTGGCCACCATGATGTAAGCAATTTCCTTAGTCCAGGCCCTCCCCTCATGTGTTTTCAGCCTCAGAGCCAGCTCAGGACTGAAAATGTGAATCAAAGCAAACCTCTCCTCCTTTAAATTGTGGCTGTTGGGTACTGTGTCCCAGTGACAGGGAATTGACTAAGACATCCTGTAAACCAGGTTAGCACGTGAATCTCTTCAACCTGTGGGCCCAAGAAAAGCCCTCAGAGGCTAGCACAAACCCTGGCCATGTATCCAACCCTAAGACAGAACCTTCTGGAAATACAGCTTGGTCTGTGCTCTCTTCACAGACTGGCACTTTGAGTCTGGCCCGTCTAGATAGTGGCTCCTCTCTCCAGCAGCCTCACCTCTGGGCTCTGCCCTGTATTACACATGTTACATTAAACCACATGAAACTATGACACCCAGCCTTTCCTTCACCTGCAAAACAGCAACGTCATATAGTGAAACAAATATCAATAATATGAACTCCCCTGATACATGTAGATGCTATCCCTTTACATAGATGTCTATTCTCTAGTTTTTAAGTACCTTAGTATAGGGGGCTGGGGATTTAGCTCAGCGGCAAAGCACTTGCCTGGCAAGCGCAAGGTCGTGAGTTCGATTCCTGGTACCGGAAGAAAAGACAAAAAAAAAAAAAAAGTACCTTAGTATAGACAATATTGAAAAATATGAGCAAGAGAAAAAAGGTTAAAAAGAAAAGCCATCATCTCAACATCTAGAAATGACTTCTGCTAAAGAAATTTGTGTCATTTGCAGAGATACGCATAATTTCTCCTTTAAAAAATGGGATTAAAAAACTGGTCCTCTTCTTCTTTCCCCATCTAGTTTCTCTTAGTTCATTATAAAGTTTTGTGCTAATATTGTATAGATAAGATATCTTGCCTATACCTTTTACTCTGAATAAACACTAGGAAGACAACAACGCACAGTGTATCAACTATTGTAACTGTCCTAATAACCTGTTTTGAAACTTGGTTTTATTGTAATGTATATATATACACAAATAGCTAAGATAATTGTACTAATAATTTCTACTGGTTTATTGAAAGGAATCGTTAATGCTTGCATGCCTATATCTGGTAATCTGAGCACCTATTTTGAAGATACAATATACAATATAACAACCATTGTTAATTAAAAAAAAACTGGGTCTCTGGCCAGGCATGGAGAATACATGCATACTTTTACACGGCCTCACGATGCAACCTCTCTAAAACAGCACGGAGGCCGTACGCAACGTAAACCTGCAGAGCTGCAGAGTACAGGAGAGGGAGCATCAGCAGGAAAGAAATGTCACTGAGATTGTGGAAAGTGACAAACCAATGGCAAAGTGCTAACTGCTGGAGCAGACCACAGAAACCCAGGCTTCAGGAGAGAATCCAGTCAAAAGAAGCTGATTTATGCCACAAGGAGTGGCATAACACCCCAGGGAGTAAATGTATCACATAGCTCTGAAAAAGAAGGGGTGGCCAAACGGCTGGACCAAACAGAAGATGTCCTGAAGTGCTACATGCTGTATAAGAAACAGTTAACCTTTGAGATCGCTCTCCCTCAGCCAGGCAGAAAACAAGGGACTGATGTTCCAAGGACAGCGGATCTGAGAAGGTTTGAACTCAGGGACAGAACAATACTAAAAATAAAGATTTTAAACTCTCTTAGTCACTTTCCCACCACTGGACACAATATCTGACACTTACAGCTTAAAGAAAGGGAACTTTATTTTCACTTACAATTTCAGTCTGTGGTAGACAGAGTCCAAGACAGAAATAGCATGGCAGAGGGCATGGCAGAGGAAAAGGTGCTCAGCCCCTAACGGCCAGGAAGCAGAGACAGAAAGAAGGAACCCTGACAAGAATACACCCTTCACGTTCACATCCCCAGGCCCCACCTCCTGACAGCACATTTGGCTACTGAACTCATCAGGGTATGAATCCATGGATGAGCATAGAGACCCCGTGATCCACTCACCTTCCACACACATCAGAATGGGGCGTAGATCTAAACCATAACACAGACATACTCCTGAGGGAAAGGACTTGAGAAATCCTTAATGAACTGACCCACTCCCCAAGTACCAGTCAAGCGGGGAAAGCTAACATTTGGAAGGCCCGCTCATTCCACGGGCATTGCATGTGCCTATATGTCTTGGCCTTCAACAGGGTTCACAGTAACACATCATCAGACACCTGATATGGAAGTCAGAGACCAAAGCAAACAAACACATTTAACAACAAATTCTGAGAAAGCAGAGCCCTCACAGGAAGCAGAAGATAACAAGAGAAAGTAAGAAACTGTAATTACTATCCATTCAAAGAAAAAAGAAATATTGCATTTATGAAATAAGACAAGGAGAAGGAAAGAAGAAGGGAAGGAAGGAATTGAAGGACAAAATAGAGCTCTTAGAAATTAAAAACATTAAAATGTGAATTCAAATTTTTAGAAGTTTGTAAGACAGTTGAAAAAAATCTCTTTAAAAGTAAAACAAATTGACATAGAGTTACAAAAAAAAACATAAAAAAATAAAGAAACAGAAAGCCTCTAAGAATTAAAAAGTTTCCTGACTTA